TGAAATTTCGCTGCGGGCTTCCTTCATTTAAAAACCTTTAATTGAAGTGTCCTTAATTGAAAAACCAAAGGGTTCTCAATGAAAAAAAAATCATACCCAATAAGTACATTTTAAGATCGGATTTGGGAATTTTTCTTCTGAAAATGAATAACCGGTTTCTTGTCAGTAAAATGCTTTCTGATCGAATCATCGAGAGTTTGGTTATGGAAACTATTTTTTGTTTCTCTGTATACAAAGGGAGCATTTTCGATACAAAATGTTTACGGACCTCTTTTACAGTCCACATCTTATTTCACGCAAGGAAAGTTTACTGATTAATTTCCCTCAACACTCATTTTCTCCGAGTATATTTGCAAAATGACTTATAAACAAGATTATTTCAGGACTCGGTCGTTAACGCCATGGGGTTCATATGGGTTGGTCTCGCGTCCATAAAAAATACGGAATATTTGAAGCATAAAGGAAAAAATCAATTAGAAAGAGTGAACATAATAAGGAACTTGTATGAAGTTCAATTCTTTCGAATTCCCCTATTTACACATTCCTCGTACTAGCGCCGCCGCGGCCGCAAGCGGCCGCGACGTTGATGCCCTTCCGTTATGCTTTTTTCCATTTCTTCCGTTCATTTCGTTCTTTTCCAAAGATTAATTATTCATCATTATTCTTATTGTGTTGAGATTGATGGAACTAATTTATTTACTAACTTATTTACGTAAAAATTGTAAAATTATTATGTAAAAAATAATTACAGTCCCAGGGGAATGTCAGAGTGTGAGGTTAAGACGCGTCAAACCGTCATACGAAACCGAACGCCGAGTGAAAATCGCATGGGAGCGTACGGAGCCAAAGTCGGATACGCCGGTCTCAAACCATACGGACCCCACCGCACACGGAGCGCCTCCGTTCACGACGGGCTTTCATACGACCGTGCAATCCTGGGTCGAGAATAGGCTCCCTGCCTTCGTGACTATCAGCCCACCCATTACAGAAAATTTGTCTCTTTGCGAAGGAGTTGGAAAAACTCTCACCAGACAATCGCAGGACCATCAGTTCGAAAAAATATTACAATTCTAATGTGCGTGATTATTGTTTTTTTTTCTATCACTGGGAGCAATAATGTATGCTGTCAACTGAATGTATAAAATGAGAAATTCATGTAGTTATGGAATAAATTATTGAATTATTTACAAGGTTTTCTCTAGGTTTATCCGTTATTTTTATTTCACATTCCACTGCTCATTTCGTCATTCACAACAAATACCTCAATCGACTATTCCACGTAAAATCGAATTATACTATATCAGTTTTTGTGATGTCATTCGCTTTGGAGAATACTCGACATTTTGCTGAATCATCGAACATTCGACTTAGCTTGTCTTCATTATAGTCGATTTCCTCCATGTTTCAAGGAATAAATTCTCACGCACCCTCCTCCCTAAATAATAAATCCACAACCTCGGCGCTCAATTCATGGTGAGATCCCTCGGAAGATTCATAGCCCCATTGTTCATTACCCACGAGAAATTCGTCTTTAAAACCGTTCGATATCACTACATATCTATCCCGGGTGTGGCTCAATATCTAGATGCGCATGAGTTTCTCTTACGCCAGTGAAATAACACACGAACCTCCCCCCTGCCCTTCCATCGACGAGACGAAGGAGACAGCGAAAATGAGCTTGAAATCTTCGGGAGTGTAAACCAATTTTTCACGAGCCCAATACGGAGCATCTGGTCGATACTCGATAATCCTTCCTAACATGATTACGCCAAAGTATAACGCGCTTACTCCTCACGATCACTATTTTTCATGGAGATTCGAAAGCGCCGGCGCTTTTCTTTTCCTCCCAAGAGGACGTGATTTCCGGAGATTCGAACGATAATCAAGGATATTTTTTACAATGAAAGATGTTATTTTCGACCGATATATTTACATTCTGTATTATCGCCGGGCTATCTACTCGGTTGTTATGGCCGGAGATGTTGTCAGCGTCGGAGGACAACTTTTTTATTTTAATTGTTGTTATACCCTCGAACATAATGTAAGAATTATGAACAAAAGAATAATCTGAAGGAATCTTTCATCTGTTTTAGTTTTTATTATGGAGACGATGCTATACACTCCTTCCCGAGTGGAAATTTCACTCAGCTTGGATTTACATTAGTTTTAGGTTCAATACTGGTCAGAATTTATTGATTAGACTTTCGGATCAGGATCTGATGAGATTCTGAATGGAGTATCTGTATTCATTGTGGCGGAGTGAATTGTGATCCTATTCTGATCAGTCAAATCTCGACTAGATCCATATCGGATCCGGTACTGTTCAGGAAGATCGAATCCTAGAATTTTGACCAGGCATGGACCCAAACAAGCGTTACATTTCTGATCCAAAATTGATCAAAATCGGTTTTCACTGGTCAATCTCTTATTCTATCCTAATTTGAATTTCCACTCGGGTTTCTCAAGCGTAAAAATAAATTCAAGTTTTATGTAGAATCAAAAGATTGATTTGGTTTATTATATTTTTTGATCGGCTTTAATATTCTAATCGATTTAATTTTTAAATGTTCACACGTTTTCAGATTTACGGAATTATAATTTTATCAGGATTATAAATTTTACTTTCGGAATTTTAACAACATTATTATGAATGATTCTACTTGGTTGTTCCGTTCATAATAATTGATTAAGATTTTACACACTCAGAAAAAAATTACGTCTGATCAGTAGAAAAAATAGTTGTACTCAGTGCCAAGGGGGTTCTGGGGAAAAGTTAAATTTTTTACTTCCTGAAAGTCACAAAAGAACTGAAAAGCAAGTATCATGCGTCAAGTACCTGGGGTGTAAAATACTTTTTCGAAACGGTAATTCACGTTTTCAAAACCGTAATGTACAAGCTTCTCAAACGGGTAAATGACGCTCTTGAGAGCACAAATTGGGGTCAGAATAACGTGAATTACGATTTCAAGAACGTGAATTACAATTCTCAAAATTGTGAATCAATTCGGTTTCGAAAGCACCCATAAAAACCATAATCTACTGATTATTTCCTACAAAATATCTTCACCTGAATACTTCTATTCACAAAAATGCGCAGAAAGCTCATTTTTGATAATATTCGCTTTTCTCAATGAAGTAATCAATTGAAAGTACTGAAATAAAGTCATAAAAGTACTTGAGAGAAGTTCAAAAATTACTTTTCACCAGTACCTTTGGTACTTGCGAAAAGTACTAAAAGTACTAGCAGAAATGATGCTACTTTCTCGCAGTACTATTTGTACTTGATGGGCACACGTGGTACTTCATCCAAGGATACAAAAGTGCTTGGGACAAGTATATTCCGAGATTTTCACAAGTGAACTTCCCCTAAGTACCGGTCGGTACTGGGGAGAAATACAGAAAAAAATAACGAGACCATCGCTGAGATGATTTTTCTTTTAATCCAATAAGATTTACTCTACACAGAAACGCGTCGATTGCATCCAAAAAATTTCAAATCACACCATTACTCTAAGAGAAATAGTGGGAATAATGAAAAAAAACTCATTTTCGACGTTTTTTCACATATTTTTAGCGAATAACTGAAGAACCGCTGAGGCGATGGTCTTCACAATCTAATCAGTTCTAAGTTACATGGAGGTGCGTCGATTGAAAAAAAAAATCAAATTGCATCGTTGGTTCAAGAGAAATCATGTCCCAAAATTTTCGGGGTCAATACATTCGTACACACACACACACACACAAACACAAACACACATGTGTTCAAAGACATCATAGAAAGATTTCATGAGTCATGAAACGTGGAGATATTATTAAATTTCCACTTTCGATTTTCGGGGTCATTACAATAACTTCCTCCCTTCGAGTCGGGAAATTAAAAATTACTTTTGATCAGTAGAAAAAGTACTTGTACCCAGTACCAAGGGGTTTCTGGGGAAAAGGCACATTTTTGCAATTTCTCGAAGTTACAAAACAACTTGATGCAAGTATCATGCGTCAAGTACCTGTGTATTGATGAGAAGTACCTCAGTACTTGTCAGAGGTACTTTTGTTACTTGGGACAAGTAAAAAAATTACTTGTACTGAGTACTGGGCTGGATCTTTTCAAAAGTATCAAATAAACTCAATAAAAGTTGAGTATAACTCAAAAATATTTTTCTACTTCTTCTAAAAACCGAATTTCGTCAAAAATTCAAAAATCCAAATAACTTGCTTTTTGTGAGTAATAAAATTGAACAGAAATTGAAAATAATTTTTCAAAGCCTTTTAAATGTTAATAACAACATAAAACATAAAAACCTCAACAAAATTGAAATTTTGCAGGTCGGAAAGCATACCAATAATTCTCGAAAGCATCCATAAAAATTGCAATCTATTGATTTTTTACTACAAAATATCTTCGGCTGAACATTTCTATTTACAAAAATGCGTAAGAAAGCTCATTCTATCCGGTAATAATATTTACTTTTTCAATAAAGTAAGCAATTGGAAGTACTGAAATTACTTGTCTTAAAGTCCGCAAAGTACTTGAGAAAAGTTGAAAAATTACCTGAACAACCTTGGCAACCTTGGTAAGTTCAACCTTGTTGAACTTACCTTTCAACTTGAGTTCTTATCAACTAGTACCTTTGGTACTTGTGCAAAAGTACTGAAAATACTGGCAGAAAGTAGTGAATCTACTTCCTCCCAGTACCATTTCTACTCGATCGGCAGATGTGGTACTTCACCCAAGGACACAAAATGTACTTGGGACGAGTATTTTTAGAAATTTTCAAAAGTGAACTTCCCCCTAGTACCGGTCGGTACTGGGGCGAAGTACTTTTTTCTTGGGTGTACGTTTTTCTTTGGGTACAATTATATTGGAAATTATATTAATGAGTCATCAAATAAATGGATTGATCTCATCTTATCGGATTTCCTAATGTACTTTGTCACCAAGTTTGTTTAGGGTTTGGGCGTATTTTCAGATCCATGCTTATCCAGAGATGATGTTTACTTACCCTTGTGCTGAGATCGAATTTGGTATCCCATCGAGGCTTTCTCTGCTGACCTCATCAGCCATAGCGACCTTCAGCTGATGGCCGAAACTTGCGAGATCCTCTCGAAACGCTTCACTACCCGGTGTAATGGCCCCGCTTGTTGGTGGTAACGGAGTTGGATTACTACCGTCACCATCTTCACCCTCTTCTCCACCATCTTTTTCTACCAGGGCTTCCTCCTCTTCGTTGTAAATTTTGAAGTAGGCAAACGTGAGATATATCACCGAAATTATGAACGATGGGATTGGTATCGCCAGTGCGTATACGAGATTCATGTAGACCTACATTCATTCCCATAGGAAAAGACACCTTAAGTCCCCATCATTGACTCAGAAAATAATTAAAATTAAAAATTGTAACTTGATAAACATAAAAACAGCGAACGTTTGTGGTCTGTTCTTAATTAGTTGGCAACTCATTCTCGCTAGGGCGAGTGGACCAGTCACGAATATTCATAATTTTTACAGCTGATATATTTTGATTGAATACAAGTTTATGTTTTAATGGAAGTTTTATAAAAAATCATTTTCTGAAAGGTTTTAATACAAAAATTTGATTGATTTCCAGAGAATTGTTGTATGTTGACTTGTTTCACTCTAACAAATAGAAAATCGTCCCGAGAATAGATGATTTAAAAATAAACATTTACCTAATTTCTCTTATAGCACAATTGTACAACTCCGAAATAAGTCCAACGATACTTTCGGAGAAATTCCTTGTTTTTTCGATGATTGAGTAATCCATTTAATTCAACTCAAGTACTATCTACAGTTTTGTGCGAAACATATTGTAAATTCGCAAATTTTCTATTATGAAATTGAAATCTGGAAGAAAAATTAGAAAAATAGATTTTTTTTTCATTTTTCTAGGGCTTTCCTAATTTCTAAAAACCTTTGTTTTTCTATGAAATCGATCTTAGGTGACACTTTTAATAACATCAATAAATTTGGTACAATTTTCAATTGCAATAAGAAAATTGAATTCAGACTCTAAAACATTGAGATGATAAAGTAATTGACAGATGGTTAATAACTTGTGTAAGATTGGGCTTAAATGGAAGACCTGATGTTCAGCTATATAAACTTTGACAATAATTCTGATGAAAACAGAAAATTTCTCAGTATTTGGAAAATACTGAGAAAATATTGGATATTGAATATTTTTCAATGACACTGTTCGACAAAATTTGGACGTCGTCGACCTCAAAAACGAGACATACAATTTCGTTGATATTTTGATGCTGATTTTAAATTTCTTCTGGAAAATCTTTCTAGTACGTCTAGTTTTCGTCAAAAAAATGTTGAAGTGTTGAAAAGTGGCTGAAAAGGGCAATTTAAAAAATGTATAAAAAATGAATTTGGACGTGGTTTTTTCCAGAAAAAATACAATGAATTAATGAAGATGCAATTTGTTTAATGTATTTGGGTTCATCCTAATTAGTTGAGTCAAAGAGAGTGAAAAAAATCTCGAAAGATTCAAAATTTCATGATTTTTCTTGTAAAATTAAATGCTCGGAAGTTGGTTGTGCACACTTTGATACATGCCAAACTCAAATCTATCTACACACATGTGTTAACCTTGTGTGTTAATCTCTTTATTATTTATTTTTGGTTCCATATGTATACTCTCGGGTTTTTACATTTTGTTCCCTTCCCTATCTGCGATACCATGGGCCGACTTACTTTATCCCCAACTGCACCCTATTCGGGATTGGACTGCCAGGGAAACTGTTCGTGATCGCAACGTAGATGTGGGAGCCACCAAGTGGTCCCTGACCTAACTACCTTTGGCGGGCAACCAATGAGAGTCTGATGACTGAACCAATGATGAGTGTCAACCAATGAGATCTCTGGATTTTCCGTGATCTCATTGGTTACCCGCCAAGAGTAGTTAGGTCAGAGACCACTTGGTGGCTCCCACATCTACGTTGCGATCACGAATGGAGAACCTCAGTCGTACAGCCAGCCGATAATGCAGGGATTCCACTGTGTCCATTGGTCACACTGACTCAGTGGACTCTCCTTTATCCGCCGACTCCGTAATCTGCGCTCACTCCCCTCGAGGCCTGTTGGCCCTCAAAAACCTTCCACCACTCCATATCTATCGTGCATCCTTCTCTTTGACGTCATGCGCTATGAAATGCGCAGTGGGTCACAAATGTAAACCACTGCCACGATTACCCCCACTATTCCCGACCCTTTCCCTCTTCTAATGCTGCTGTAAACTGGACGAGTGGGGATGTTCCTTTATCTGCGTTTCACATGAAATGACGTCACGACCGAGTCCCGAGGCCTGCAGATAAAGGAGAGTGCACTGTATAGCCACTTTGTTAATCTCTTTATTTTCCAACTTTATTTGCAGCAACTAAACCTCTCCACAATTGAGGGTGACTTCTCATAAGAGCAATTAACGGTTACCTCGCAGGAAAGTCATCTTGAAACTTCATGTTGAGTCAAGTCGAGCTTAACACACGGGTGTAGATAGATTTGAAATTGGTGGGCATCAAAGTGTGTGCAACTAACTTCCGATAATTCGATTTCACAAGAAAAATCATGAAATTGGGAATTTTTCACGATTTTTGTCATTCGTTTTGACTCAACTAATTGGGATGATATCGAATCCTCTAAACGCATTTTCATTAATTGATAGTTTTTTTCTTGGAAAAACTACGTCCAAATTCATTTTATTACACATTTTTCAAATTGTTCATTTTAGCCATTTCTCAACATTTCAACATTTTTTCTCTTGACAACTAGACGTGCCAGAATGATTTCTCAAAAGAAATTTAAAATCAGCATTAGAACATCTATAAGATGGGGTCAGTTTCGTTTTCAAGGTCGAATACGTCCGAATTTTATTGAACCGAGTGATTTACGGAAGGAGTTATTCTCACCGTAACTGGTCCATTCATCTTTTGATTCATCCTTAATTCCTATTTTTTCCACATTCACTACATTCTCAACTAAGACTCATTATCTGGTTTTATTCTCTCACTTAACATCGTTGCATCGAGTTGGGGAGAAATTTGACCTAGGAAAAAAATCTTTTCATTCACGGCCCCAACATGTTTCGTATTCTGTACAAAATGTATTTCTTAAATTTTCTTTGTATGATGATTTTTTTTTTCATTTCAAGTATGGAAGAAAAGTAATTCATGGAGTGAGATTGCTTTGATCTTGATGTGAATGAAGAGAAAAAAATGGTAAAACTGTCGGTGAAAAGTTCTTTCTCGAATAATAGTACTGCGGCGCTTCCGGGCGTTGAACGCGATGCAAAAAAATGTTCACTGGAGAACAATTGTCTGGAACTCATTCGAAACTTTTTCCCTCTTTTCTTCCATTTTTTTCCATGTACGGATGATATATCAATGACTATTCAGAGCTTTTTACGTGCGCCATGTATATCGTAATTGAAAATCTGCATCTTTGTTTGTGTTTGGATTATTCGTGGGTGTAACAGAAGTGAGCTAAACGAGGGAAGATGTTTGCTATTGTCAATAAGATATTGAATTTCGATGAATGGAGTGAAGGATTTTTTGTCTAGAGGATTATTGAATGGCAGAAGTTTATAAATTTAACTTTACAAAGGCATACACAACTTTTCATGTAATATTTCATTTTTTTCATGGAAACTACGGTATTAATTTTCAACTTTATATTCTCCGTTGAAAGTATTGCTCTTGATTCAATAGAGAACTTTTATGTTTTTTCAGTATTTTTTTTTCCTCAAATATGTGCCTCCAAGAAACCATATTTGATAAGGAAACACACGGAAAATGGTTTAATAATTATTTATTTGCTTTTAGTAATTGCATTTTTTTAAACGTCCTAAAAAGGCCTGATGTGACGTCAACTCACCGGAGGCTAAAATTTTCGTGTGGCGCCATCAAGCGGTTTAGTACAATTGCTGAAATCTAGAAAAATCCTCTGTACATGTATTTGGCTCCAAAATGTTAGAAAATCGAATCGAGTGATGAAAGTTTCTTATAAATATTGTTTTGTACCGAAAAATTATATAAATGATTTCAGAAAATGAAGCAATTGATTTTTCTGCCTCTGGAAAGTTGAAAAATTGATCGTTATTTTAAAAAATGTTGGGATATCAATATTTTTTATCCCTATAATTTGATGTCAGTGGGTAGAAAAGAGAGCAATACAGATGAACATGTTCAACAAGAAAATACAAAAATGGGTTTTTCACTGGCTCTAGAAAATTTTAGAATGGATTAATGTTTTACAACACGAAAAAACTGTATATTCGAGTCAAGAATACGTATTTTCGATTTAAAAATACACCTATTCGATTTATATCTAGTCGATCATCCCTTTGTAAACATTTTCAATTTGTCTCCAATTTGTAATTTTTGCAATTCATTGCCATTCAGGTAATTCTATTCATTCTATCAACAGACAAGGATAGAAATCGAATATGGGTATTCTTTGATTGTTCGAAAAAATATATAAAAAATATATCAGTTTTTTAATGTCTCCGACAGATTTTCAAACTGTCCGGAGACATTAAAAAATTAATCTTGTTTGCTCTTTCCGCCCACTTTTTGCATGTTTTAAATTTCTTCTTGCTGAAATGTTGATGTCCCTCTAATACTTGAAGAAAAAAAGTGATTCAAAGTTTCTGCCGACATAAAAGAAGAAAAAAAACATTTTCTAGCCAATTATCCTTTTCTGATTCTTTTTTCATTTCCTTCTCATAATAATAATTGGATTCCGACCATAGAAATTAAGAGTACCGATATCCTTTTACCATATGTAGGGAAAAATGAATTTTAAAAATTTTCAGCAATGCATGGAGAGATTTTTCTATTACTTGAATGAGATTTCGATTGACTTTTGTTTTATGTGTTTGTTTTGATCACAAAAAAACACTTTTAATTGATCTGTAACATAATTCCTCTTCATTCAAAGTTGTAACTTGTGAATTAAGGGAAAAAAATCTATAATGAGAATAAGGATGAATAACATTAAATTAATCTAATTGTGTAGACGGAAATGGAAATAAAATAAAATAGTATAAATTAATCTAAAGATCAATTGTTCAAATAGTATGAATTGGGCGATTCGCGCCCGTCCGCTAGTGTAGTAATAATACTAAGAGTCTTGTTCTCGATTCAATTCCTCTTAAATTATCATATTCATTGGATTCGGAAAACATCATGTTCCTCAATGATCAACGCGATAAATTATCAATTTCGAGGACAATTATATATTGCACCCAACTCGACACAATGACATTGACACCCGTCACAACACCAAGATGACCTAAAATATCAGAATCACCAGACCTGCCACATATCAAGATCGCTGATGACAATTCCCGGATCCACCCTCGAGTAGTAGCAACTAAAATTCTGTCCAATGCTTGAATACTGCCTGTAGAAAATACTGCAATTCAGTATGGGTGGATATCCACATCCCTTAATATTGGGGAACAGCTTAGCGCCAGTGAAATACCACTCGGAGTCGTTCCCCATGAGACCTATGCATCATAGATCCACTCATTTAATTATCCATTGTCTAACGATAATTATTTCCTCCAGTATTACATGAACATTAGTTAGTGATCCTCAAATCCATTTCTCTTCATACATATATTTTTAACACGTTTTAGCTGTACCTGTGGGAAAAGGTTTTGGCAGCCCAACATCATCATCGTCGAATTCATCGTCGAGGTCTTCAATGTAATTATAATCCCTCGGTGAACGTTGATATCTCGGCTTCGTACGGGCCTCGTCACCCTCGACACCTCCTCCCGCCCTGCCCTCATCTCCACCAATCCTGTCTTCGTCAGTTACATTAAGAGGTAACTTGTAATTTACGCGTATTTGCGTACAGTCATACAGTTCCTTGGTACAACCTTCTCTACATGAGGTCCATGAGCAATTGCTCGCACCTTTAATTGGATTCACCGAGTGAGTGTGAGGTTATTTCATCAGACGAAATAGTTTTTTTTTGCGAGAAAGAGTTCATGCAATCACGAATACTTTTTGCTTTTTATATTAAGGATGTTCTGCAGAAACACGAGAAATGAGGAGGGATCTTAATTTTCTGGGACTGAAAATCGTCATGGATGTAAGTTCTAAGGTGGACTCATCTCACAATCTCTTTTTTCGGGAATGGACAATGAAATTATTTGGAATCGTATTCTGTAACCAAAAAAAAAAATATGGATTCAAGTCGACGTCGGTTTGATTCTAACAGATTTTTGGCTTGATTCAAGCTGACGGACTCGGACTACGTCAATCCGGATTTCGGATCTGATATAAGTCGAAAAGTGGTTTATTTCAAGTAGAAGCGTGTCAAGCCGACATCGGTCTGAATCAAACCGAACAATCGGCTTGAATCAAACCGTAAAACGGAGCGAAATTCTGCCTGTTTCAGGTTGTAGATAGCGATTTGATTCAAGTCGATTTTTCGGTCTGATTCAAGTCCATTTTTTGGTTTCATTCAAGCCGATTGTCGACTTAATCCAAGCCGATTTAGGGCTATGGGGCTTCGTCAATGGAGAGAAGGTTTTACATAAGGAGATCTTTGTGCGGGACAGGATACTTGGAGGGGGGGGGGGGAGTTGTACTGGATTATCGATGTAGAGTCCTCCCGTAGTCGACTTAGCTCGTCGGTGAGTTTTTCAAGGATATCTCCGAAACTAAGGAAGATAGCGAATTTGTACTGAAAAATTGGGGGGGGGGGGGGGGGCTCTTTATTTTTT